TTACATTCTCTCTTATAAACATGTATATAAATATTAAAATAATACAGTTTGGCAGGTCCTAGGTCCAGGTACAGCAGCATTACATACTCAGCTTTAGGAACCAGCAAATAGAAACCTTGATGTATCAAATTAAGGCCTTGCATAACATAATATGCTGCAGCATTTAATAATTCATCAAAGTAAATCAAAGTAACAAGGATCCACTGCTATTATTTAGCAAAGCATCGATGCATGACTTGATCAGTTTTGAAAAACATGTCAATGGCCGGGAAAATTGATGGAAAATCAGATATATTGGGTCTGCAGGCTTATGAAATAAATTTCAATTAAGTTATTAAACATTCTTTCTGAATGGCATAATATTCATTATTAATTCTGATTATCTCTGTCACAAATTCCTAAGTTTACAATTATTTATATTAGTTAATTATGAAGTTTTGCGTGCGTGAAAAATGAACACTAAGTCTTGACCATTATATACATATAAAGAGTTCTTGCTTTTTAGTCGTGTTTCCTTCGCTAGCGGGATATGAGCTAATTTTATGTATATGTGTATACGGCTAACAAATTAATGAATTTTCAAAGCGATTCCCAGCAGCCTTTCGCGCTCATATTCTACCTCAGTTTCGCTCTGCTCGTGGACAACCTTAATGGAACATTTGCATTATAGACTAAATTTTGATCTAGACAAAAAATATCATCACAGCTTGAAAGAGCATCACAAAATTAGTAATATTCCAAAGTTTCGTTGCGAAATGTTGTAAAATGCGGATAATATAGCCTTGCGAAATTTACAATTTTCAGTCATTTTGTATTACAACGGGAAATTGATGCCCCAACACCCGATTGGGCTGTCAATTTCCCATGCGTAATGCAAAATGACTGAAAAACGGCAAACTTCTCAAGGCTATATTATCCGCATTTTACAACATTTCGCAACGAAACTTTGGAATATTACTAATTTTGTGATGCTCTTTCAAGCTGTGATGAAATTTTTTTCTGGATCAAAATTTAGTCTATAATGCAAATGGTCCATTGAAATAGCTGTATATCCAGCTAGCATAAAGAATCATTCAGATGGTGCACAGACAACCATGCCTGGCATACTGTACTTCACGAAATCCATGTCGATCCTGTTTTTAGAGCTAGCTAAAAATAGCTATATGTTTCAAATTTGATGTGTTTTATTAATGTTCGTTTTTCAATTATTTTAGGTACAGCAGGAGATTCTCTCTCGTACCAAAATGGTATGGCGTTCTCGACTTATGATTCCGACAATGATGGCCAATATGAAGCCAACTGCGCTGTGCGGTACAAAGGTGCCTGGTGGTATAAGAGATGTCATAAATCCAATTTGAATGGTCTGTATCTTTATGGCGCACACATGTCGTTTGCTGATGGTGTCAACTGGTACCATTGGAAAGGATATTACTATTCACTGAAATCACCATCAATGAAAATCCGGCCAGTTGCATTTTAACATCCCTCCTCGTATTACGATATATACCCATTCAGTATATTTTTAGTTTTTAATTAAGATGCCAACCATCTTGAAAGACATTCGTGGTATTTTTATTGCTTGTTATTAGACAAAATAAAAACATGGAATAGATAGCATGTAATTTCCTTGAATATGCAATACAAAGCACAAAATAAAGATTGCTTTCTTTTTTCTTCTCAGCGTTGAAACAAAATATTTGATCATATTCACGTTTGATTCACAATAGTGAGTTTTAGGCCGTGGGCTGTTGGCCAAAATTATTTCGCTTCGTGGCACCCATGTGGGAAATACTTGGTTTGGGGTTTATTTGAAAGGCATATAGGTACATCACTACCAAAACAATTTACCAAGCAAAAAAGTTGTCCAATCCCGAGAAAATGGGTGATCAATGATTATCCTCTATTAAATTGTATTACAGCAAAAAAATGGGGAATCCTGTATTCAATTACAATAAAAATGACTTGCATCATCGGAAAACGTACAAAAAACTGCATATAAGACTTTTAAACAGTTTTTTTATTTTTCAAATAGTGTTTGAGTTATTGCTGTTTTAAATGTGAAAATTGGACCAAAATGTCGCAATAAGGACTGGGTACTAGGTAAAAAACGCGTTTTTGACAGCGTATAACTCGAAAACAATTTTAGATATAAAAAAGCTGTTGTCATTGAATACAAAATTTTACATTTTCTTGCTGTTATAACTTTTTAACATTTTACATTTTCTTGTTGTTATTTCTTTTTAACTATTTTTTTCATAGGTATAATGATATTGATTCTTTCACAATATCTTGACTTTTTAACTTATGAACTTATAGTATTATCATGATTACATGTTATATAGTATTTTTAATTGTATGTAATGTAGTTATAGTATAAGAGGGCCACTTGTTAGTCAGTTGATATACTGTTCAGTGTTTACCCTCGTTAAATAAAGTTGATTGATTGATTGATTGATTGATTGATTGATTGATTGATCACCCATTTTCTCGGTGTTGGGCAAGTTTTTTGCTTGGCAACTTTTTGTGGTAATTAAGCATCAATGGTTCTATGAATTGAACCATAGAAAATCTATTTCCCAGGTGGGTGCCACGGAATTGCTTTTCTAGGCACTTTTTCGCACAACAGCCCACGGCCTATTTAATTAAAATATATCATGCGTTTGAATGGTCTGTATCTTTATGGAACACACACGTCGTTTGCTGATGATGTCAACTGGTGCCATTGGAAAGGATATTACTATTCACTGAAATCAACATCAATGAAAATCCGGCCAGTTGCATTTTAACATCCCTCCTCTCCAAGCACAATTGCAAAGATAAATAAGTAATTACAAATTGCCAACTCTCCAATCGCTTTCTTATTGGCAATTGATAAAACTAGAATGGTGAAGCGAATAGTCGACGAATAGTATGAATAGTCCGCGAATAGTCGACGAATAGTGCGAATAGTCCGCGAATAGTCGACGAATAGTACGAATAGTCCGCAAATAGTCGACGAATAGTACGAATAGTCCGCGAATAGTCGACGAATACTACGAATAGTCGAAGAATAGTGCAATGGAGACTTTGCAAGGCTTTCCACCGTGCTGCAGAACTAAATTTACCGAAGCGGGGGCTCTATTGGCAAACATGAAATCGTGAAAACATTCGTTGATGTCAATGACGTCAGACGTAATCGGTAAAATTACGAGACCACTGAGTTTTGGTACCCGGACATTTTGCCGAAAGACACTTTGCCGAAAGACACTTTGCCGAAAGACATTTTGCCGAACGGACATTTTGCCGACGGTCATTTTGCCGAACGGACATTTTGCCGAACGGACATTTTGCCGAACGGACAGTTTCCCGAAAGGACAATTTGCCGAAAGGACAACTTGCCGAAAATAAAGAGTGCATAACCATATTGACTATTGGTAGCTTGTTGGTGCAGCGGATGACTCATTTGTTTGGAACGTGTTTTGACGTCAGATCGTAAACAAACAAGCGTATATAAAGACGACGTAAGCGAATTTCACTTCGAGAATCATATGGAATACATTCACAGTTCTCGGGAAAATCACATTCATGAATGATGTTGAATGATGTTATTCTTTATATCGCGAATTTTCGGTAAACTTGTCAAAAACTTGAAAGAATATAAAACGAAACTGTACTTCACTATCAAAGTTTCTGTCATCAAAATCGACAATTAATGACTTTAATCACAGAAACTTTGAGCGTGTAAGCGAACCTTTAAAGTTCAGAAGATATATCTATTTTCGGCAAAATGTCCGTTCGGCAAAACGTCCGTTCGGCAAAACGTCCGTCGGCAAAATGTCTGTTCGGCAAAATGTCTTTCGGCAAAATGTCTTTCGGCAAAGTGTCTTTCGGCAAAATGTCCGGCCACCTGAGTTTTGACAAATATTTAACAGGAAGAAGAATGACAATCACTAGAATGACATTTTCCACTGGGCGAATTTGTTCGCGCGAAGCGACAAGTAAAATAGTAGGCTGATCCAACTTTTTCGCGGCGAATTTTTTCGCTGACCAATCACATTGCCGAAATTTGGTTTTCGCTTCGCGCGAACAAATTCGCCCAAAAACGGGCTTAAATAATAAATCGATACCTTCTCTTGTTTCGCGATGTAAATCACGTTTTCCAAGCACACGAAATCACTTAAGCCCTTAAATATTCAGTTACAACGTCACAACTTACAAGTAAAATTCCTATAAATTCCATCAGTAAAATTCATGACTCGCTCATATGGTTACCACTAACCATCAGGAATGATTATAAATTTAAAAAATATGAAATATATTTCCTGACGATGACTGAATTTTAGTCGAAACACGTTGGTCAAATTTAGCAAAATTTCTCCCACTCGTGCGGGCTCGTATTGTCAGCGGACATCTTACAGAAAGTGGGCAGTTCTGTGCAAAATGCAAAAGTTTCAATTTTTCACAACAAATCCGCTGAAAATGCGAGCCTGCGGTACTTGGAGAAAATTTGCTGAATATGACCAGCGGGAAAGCTACAATATTAAAATGTTTATTTTCGAAGTTACCGTTGTTTTATATTTTATTAAAATACTCAGTGGTTCCCATAATTTTTACCGGTTACCTATGACGTCATTGACGTACGTCAACGAATGTATTCACGATTTCATGTTTGTCAATAGAGCCTCTCCCCCCCGGTAAATTTAGTTTTACAGCACTGCTGCAAAGCCTTGCAAAGTCTCTATTGCACTATTCGTCGACTATTCGTACTGTTCGTCGCCTATTCGCGGACTATTCGTCGACTATTCGCGGACTATTCGTAATATTCGTCGACTATTCGCGGACTATTCGTACTATTCGTCGACTATTCGCGGACTATTCGTACTATTCGTCGACTATTCGCACTATTCGCTTCACTATTCTAGTTTTATCAATTGCCCTTTCTTATTCCATTTTAAAATAACTTCTAGAATACCTTTTTACAGGTATATACCCATATGTTTAATGTAAAATATTTCTTCTTTTTAGGGAAAGTACATTTATTACACCGAGGGGGGGGGGGGATGAAGATGTCTTGAAAAAAGCTCATATTTTTACAGGGCCCCTGTTGAGGTTATCGGTAAATTTCGATGCCCCCCCTCCAAGTTTTTAAAATTTTCAATGCCCCCCCCCCTCTAGAATTCGGAATCGAAGGAGTACAATCCGGAATTCTCTCTTATCATAGATACAATTTGCAGTTCCTCAAGATGTCTGATATACTCAAGCATGTGCTTCTCCTCAACAAAACTACCGATCTGCTGCTTCTTTCACCTCACTAGCGCCAGATGAAATGGCACCGTCTTTAAAACATTTTAAATTGGCTCTAGGGGTGAAATTATCAACAGGTTGTTGTTGTCCATCATTCAGCGTATTCGGAGTCTTGAACACGTTCATGTAGTGGCCAGGATTTCCTGGATCAGGGTAATGTGCTGGAACCTTACAGTATGTCGCCCCCACCCAAGTGTCTCCCGGCATCTGTTGCAAATGTCTTTGTATGCCTGTCAAAAATGCATGCAAAAGTGCCATTATGCTTCAATTTCTTTAATTTCCATTCCGTTTGTACGAAATATCCCATAAACATAGAACACATCATTCTTGCAAATCGTATATGCTTTTTTGTTTTTGGAACTGCTACTTTTTGGCGCGTAAGTTACTTCACAAACCTGGCGCCAAAAAATTTAAAATAAGCTATAGGTGATTTCATGTATCCATTTAGAAGAGCAGACTAAGGATATCTTAAAACTGAAATCGGTTTCGAATACAACCATCAGGGACGTAGCAAAGCATCTGACGTTTGGGGTGGGGGTGTCAGAGGATTATACGTATTGGCACTCTCATACTAAGTTTTGGGAGAAAAGGGGGGTCTGGGGGTCCTCCCCCAGAAAATTTTTACATTTTTGAAGCTCTAGGACTGAATTTCTGGCGTTTTCTAAAGCAAATTTTGCAAACAAATTACATGTAAATTGACTGTATTTTACAAAAATGGTTATCATTTCACAAAAATAATTACTTTATTACGCAAATTTTACCTGAAAATGTAAAAATTTTAACTTTAATTTGCTGGGGTCAAACCTTTGAAAAGTTTAGAGCCCCCCCTTCAGTATATCAAGAACTTTCAGAGCCCCCCCTTTAATGCCAGAAAATATTTCGGAGCCCCCCTTAACATCTTCATCCCCCCCTCGGCATAATAAATGTACTTTCCCTTAACTTTCTTAAAATTGTAAACACTTTGTAATTCAAATCTTATTTGCGATAAAAGTGTAAATAAACCATCAATAATAATAATAATAATAATATTAATATTAATATTAAAAGACCGCCACCAACGGGTTCTTTTTCTAACGGAGACCTATCATCAATTTAAACAGTTAACACTAGAGTTCCCAAGGGTCTGTCCTAGGACCTCTACTTTTATACATAACCCAAAGCTCAATAAGTATGTTTGATGATGATACTACAATCTACTGTAGCGGAAGGAATGCTAAAGAGATCGAACAAAAACTGAACATTAACTAGGAAAAAATGTCTCATTGGATCATCACTAACGGCCTTGCTCTAAATTTTAAGAAAACAAAATTCAAATAATTATAGGTACATCGCAAAAGTTACGTTATTGTGACACGATTGATCTGCGCCTCGGTAATATTTCTACTAGAAAATACATGCATGCAGAAACCCTCGCCTTGCTGACAAAACCATTGTATTTTCCGAACATGAAGTATCTAAAGTAGTTGTCATGGTAACACGATATTTTTAAAGAATATTCTTACAAATGAAAAATCGCCTAAAAATATTCAAATTAAGAAATGTTTGCTATTTCGCATTTTCGCTGTCGTCATGCAGTCGTTATAATGCAAACTTTAAATTGGACCAATCAGTGTCCGCTATTCATGACAGTCCGCCATATTTTTGAGATCAGTGAGGATGACCACCTACCCAACACCCCAACATCGTTGGTCACCCACGCCCGCGATAATTGATGAACTTTAGACTTCGCTAATGCTTTCGTTTCCCGGGTGTAAATAGCCGGGGGAATTAGTACCCTCACACGGCGCTTCGCGCCGTCGGGTCGGGGATTAAAACAGGTTGAGATCTATAAGTGCCTTGGAGTCAGAGTAGACTGTAATTTATCTTGGAATGCACAGATTGATAAGTTATGCAAAAACGCATCGTCTAGAATAGGAATACTTAAACGTATCGTGCCATACCTTTCGAAGTGGTCCACTACCCTTGTTTATAATTCCACCATAGTCCCTGTTTTTTTATTATTGTGGAGTAGTGCGGGACAGCTGTAGTACCTCGTCAGCAACATAATTGCCGAAACTGCCAATTAGAACGGCGAGGCTTATTCTGGGAGCAAGTTCCGACACACCATCTGATGGGCCCTCAGCCAACTGAGCTGGGCGTCTCGAGTCAAAGAAGACAAACCACAAGGCAATCCAATCAGATCTTGATTATATATCTTCTTGGTCGTCTGCTAATTACATGAAGTTAAACGCGAAGAAATGTAAAGAGCTAATGGTTTGTTTCTTCGGTGATACGCCTGTTTTGGAACCATTAACTATTGACGGAATACCAGTAGATGTTGTTGACTGTCATAATGTTTTTGGTACTGTATTAAATAGCTCGCTGAAATGGACGGATCATGTTAATATGATAACAATGAAGGCAGCAAAGTGTCTTTACATTATACGTACCTTAAAGAGAAGTGGTATGACCGCCAATGATTTGTTAACAATTTATATTGCACTTATTCGTTCGGTTTTGGAGTATTTTGCCCAGTTTGGCACATGCACTAACCTACCATCCTATCTCAGCGAACAAATTGAACGTTTACAGAAGAGAGTTTTGAGAATTATTTTCCCAAGTTTATCCTACAGAGAAGCACTTTCTGCTCCAGATTGTGTAGGGGCTCCCCATGAGCCCCATAAATTCACGCATTCACGCAAAAAAAAATCTAAATAACACGTCACGTAAAAGAAAAAGCTAATTCCACGTTCACGCGAGGGCAAAAAATATAGCATACTTACTGAATTTGATATAATGTATTAGAACGTCGAACATGTGCAGAAATGGCATTGATGGTGCGCATTTGTCTGTTTGACACTTAATTTGCCGAATTTTCTGATCAAACATTTTAATCTTATCTCCAACAAGACTGCCATTGGTAAAGACAATATGGTCAACAGGCATTTTGAAACGCATTTAAACATACTGTTTGGAACTAATTAAAATTGAGCATCTAAAACTGGCAAATCGAGAAACATGAACTATGAAAAATCTTAGGAAGTTAGCGGCTCACCTCAAGCAAATCTACTATTGAAACGAACTGTTCTTCCATATCTCGAACGCCCACGAAGAAGAAATGACGTCTCCCTTCCGACTTCGGTAGTTTGAAAGTCCTGAAAATTTTGTAAACTCGTCCGTGAAAGTTCAGTAGCCATGTCTTCAATGTCAGATTCATCATCATCGTCATGATAATGCAGAATTTCATCATTGTTTTCTTTTGGATCTGAATAATTGGCAGCCGTTTGGGACCAGCTCTGTTTAATTTACCAACCGCCTTTAGGAAAGAAGCAGTGTTCTTTAACGTAGTTAACATTCGAATAGATCCTGTGGCGTAGTCTGACAAATATACTACATGATCAAATTCGACACATATACTACATATTTTGTAAAAACGGGCAAACTGGACTGTGCCATCTCTGCTTCCACCTTCAGAATCTCCTGCAAATGTTGTTATTTGGCAATTTTGCCAAAAGTACAAACGGTGATCATCGCTACTTGTGAAGAGAAAGCTCTCTTTGTACACATAATCGTATCGAGGAATGTATCCTGATGACTCTGGTACAACGGTTAACGATACTTGTGTGTCAAGGTTGAACATGAAAATGCCTTTGCCATAAAAAACAAGCAGACTAGATTTGTGTAACAAAAGGCAGTGCACTTTCTCCCAAGTCTCGTGATAAGAGACGACAGTAACTGCAGTCCCTTGAATACCAACACTGTCACGTTTTAAGTGTATTTGCTCAAGGCTCCGTTTGGACGAACATGCACCGTAAATTAAGTGCTGATCAACTATCGAGATGTCATCAAACTGCAGAGAATTATTTTCAACAAAGTTAATTTCAGTCGAGTTCCATTTCTTTTCTTCATACAATCCCCGTTGTGTTTTCTGATGAGCTAACAATCGAACTTTGGATTCTTTCACGGTGCGACCAGCCACTAGATTGAGTTATGCGAGTAAAGGATCGATGTCTGTCTTTTGTCGTAGTTTCTCTATGGAAATATTCGGAGAACTACGCGGTTTTATATTGTAGAATGATATGGGATTTTCGTTTACACAGTTATAGACCAAGTTGCAATGTGGTAAATTTTATCCCCTTTGAGAGTAGCGCATATCAGCTCAATATCCTGGGTTGGGTTGTGTAGCTTGGACTTGTATAATTTGTATACCTTTTTCTGGTCGTCGTAGCACAAGAAAAGTATCCATCCACGTGGTCCAACTGCAACACTGGTGATGTTTTTACATGTGTTAATACGGTTTGTTGAGGTAAATCTTATCATTTCCGGAACGATGGTGTGGGTCACAAAACCCAGGCCTGCCACGTAGTCACACAGCTCAGTGTTACACAGTTTCAAAACGGCTGTTGGATCTTGTCGATCACGCTTCCTGACATAATCGTTCTTTGGCAAATAGCTCTTCATTTTCTTTCTGACAACTGATTCTGATTTATTGCATAATGTGTAAAATATGCTTAGACATCCTCTCTCATTGTTGAACTGCAAATACCAATTCGCAAAACTGCCTTTGCACGTTTTCAAAACGTGTGGACAATCTGGAAAAATGGATAGCAGGTGAAGGTTATGATCAATGGTTCCTTTCTCTAAAGCGTCTTTGAGCTGGAGTAAACACTGTTTGTTGCCTTCCTCGCAATCCACAGTCAGTACCATGACGACCCTTTTTATACACTTCACGCCATTAGACAGGCAATACTCGCAAGCTCGAACTGATGGGATGTAACTTTTATGTTCAAATGGAATAAAACTCTCACAAACAGCTCTTGAATTATAACATCGTTGACATTCGTTCACACAAAGTTCATGCTGATTCTTATCGATGACCAAATCACTCGTCTTACACCGCTTCAAACAGTTCTGACAAATTTGCAAAAGCTTCACCTGATTTGTGAATAACTCCTGCATATTTTTGCCTGTCTTACCCGCTTTTCCAACATAATCCACAGCAACAGGAAGACTGCATTTCTTATCGATTGTTGTCACGGATGTCACAAGAACTTCTCGAACCAGGAATTTCTGCAATGTTTCTTTTGACAGAAATGGATTGTCATTTACATAATCTACATCGACGCTGAAGAGCTGTTCCATAATTTGCGAGTACTACTGGATAAACCTCTAACGAACTAGTAGCAATAAGTGTGTCAGGTTTCTGTTCAAATCCTGCTTTGTTGCAAAGTGTGTAATTCAAATCACTTAAATGTCTGTGAACACTGGATTGTGTAGAGTATGCCGCTTGTTTTTTGCGCAGTCTCAGTCGACAGTCCTCCAAGATTCATGTTCACCTCTCCACCCTTATTGGCACATAGAGGACCCTGTCCTGCTTGCATAGGTCCTCTAACCATATTGTACGTTCGTTGACCACCAAGATAGGACAGAGAGCTGAAAAATTCGAGAATGTCACTATCCCATGGATGCAAGGGATTGTAGAATATTTCCACCACATCTGACAAATATTTGTAGAAGATCCTGTCCTTTGGTATCTTCCCAGCTTTAATTAGCCCATTTAAGCGCTTGCACACGGGATCAGCATCTTCAACTGCTAAACCAATAAACCGCCACTCGCCATCAAATTCAGAAGAGTTTCCAAGGATTTCGACATCTGAGTCAATGTCTGTGTGCTGTTCAGACAGTTCAGCTTCCACCTCGACATCACTATTGCTTTCAAAGTCGTCAGAACTGGCCATTTGAATGTCATCATCTTCGAATCTGAAGAGTGAAGGTGAAACATTGGAACACCATTAAGTAGGCTAAAGTAAATACAGTACCGGCCAGTATCATCTCATTGTTACAGTAAAGTATATACGGTTTATTTATGAACAAATCTCATCTTTTGGTGGAAATCTTTTCAATTCAAAGGAAACATGAATCATATGTTTCAAATGTGTGTTTTCGCCTTTTCAAACACAAAAGAACTTCAAAAGAAAGCGATTGTGAAAAGTAGGCTGAGCGACTAACTTGGTGGGTAAAAATTTAGGATTTTGCCAACTTAGCACTGACGCTATTGTGTGAAAAATACTGGTTATCTTGGCGTGGTTTTTAATCACTGTAAATTAATAATAGGCTTTTAGCTATCAAATGTGGCCTTAATAAAAATTGCCGGTCGAAATCGCATATTTCCACCGTTGGGAATTCATATGGCGGTAAGGTCGAACTAAAGAAAATGCAATTAACCAGTGTTTTGTTTGTTAATGCTTCAATTCGGTTAGTTAATATTTAAGAGAGCTATATATGAGACAGTAAAGCACACACAATGTTGTCGGAGAAGGGTTGTTGGGGAGAAATGCTCCGAATATATACTTTCAACTGGTCAAAGTGTCACCCAACAGACTCACAGTTACTCTAATTAATGCCCTCGGGGGGTCTGGGTCCCCATATTGGGCTGTCCTCAGGGGGTCTGGGTCCCCATGTTGACTCTAGTGTAATTAATGCCCTCAGGGGGTTTTGGTCCCCATGTTGGGCAATCCTGAGAGGGTTTGGGTCCCCATGTTGGACTCTAATGTAATTACTGCCCTCAGGGGGTTTGGGTCCCCATGTTGGGCGGTCCTCAGGGGGGTTGGGTCCCCATGTTGGACTCTAATGCAATTAATGCCCTCAGGGGGTCTGGGTCCCCATGTTGGGCATGATATACTTCAATCTAACATTTTTAATGTATGGTACATCGATTTGTGAGTCTATGGGATGAGGGTGACCTATGGGAAGCACTCCATCCCCAAAACCAAATTTTTTATTTTCCAAAACCGACCACATATTTTACAAGTAGTAACTATTCTACTGTTCAGTAAACGCTGCGAGCATTGCAGTCCATGCTAGTCTGTCTTGATAATGACCCATGCAATATAACAACAGGCTATAATACAGTTTGTGTTTTTTGTTGTGTTTTTTTTACTAAGCTATGATAAAGTGGTGCAACATCATTGACGGGTGAGGTGGGTGGAATTTAAGTAATTTTTTCGCTGTGAAGTGTCTTTCACTTTGGCTCACAGGCGACGACCGAGTGCTTTGCACGTGAGTGGTCACGCGTTTTAAGACTGACCTTTGTGCCTAACCTGGTCTAATCAAAGGACTTTGCACAACTTTGGTTATATCCGAACGCTTGTTTCATTAACTTAAGTTTATAATGCCTATGGGCATGTATAAACTTGCTTTAATTAGATTTCGTAAATTTATTCATAGATTAGTTGTTCATATCATGGTGTTGATTATCTGTAAACGATTCCTGACTTCAAGTGTAAATAATTCCCAACGTAAATATGTCATTTCGTTTCTGCGCGCTCAAAATGATACAAGAAATACGTCATTTGATAGATAAGATCCCAATTTCTACAGCAATAAAAAAGTACGTCTATACACTTAGTATTTCTCGCATAATAGCGTGCTGAAGTTGGTTTACCTTCATTTACGAACATTATAGTATAACTTGCAGTTATTATGATTATATATTATTAAGTTTACAGTAATTGTTGATTTCAATGCAGTTAAAGATTAAGGGTTTTGCAAACACAGCATAACAAATAAAAAAGAAAAGTTATTATTTTAGATATATTACTTTTCCTCCTCGCCCTCGGAGAGTTCAATGTCTGAGTCGTACTCCAACATAGGCCTTTTTGCCGTGGTTGGGCTCATGTCTTCCCCAAGGCTGTCATTGCTTGAAGGCCTTGGTTTCCTGGCAAACGCTTCTTTGATGATCAGTTGATTTTTTTGCTTTTTGCCTCTCTGTTACCTTTTTTTTACAGTGATGAAAGTGGCCTAAAAGTCATAAACACTCAGTTAAATAAATACAATATTCTAACAGATGCAGTGGTAAAATATTACAAATACTTACGTTTTTTGAAATATTGTATTCTCCCGTTTGTTTTCGCATCAACGCGTACCATACATTTGTTTTTACATATTCCACAGTGAATCTTCGAAGGCCACACAATAGATTTTTGTTTACTTTTTATAATACGCTGTTTGGATGAATCTTGAAGTGTGCTTCCTTGAAATTTCTCAAGTAGTTTTATGGTTCAAATGGAAGATATACTTACATAGTTAGATTGTCAGATTTCAACAGCCAAAATATATTAATATAAGAAATCTAAGCAACATTAAATACTGTACCTTTCTTAAATGCGTCCTCGTCATCAATTATTGCTACCTCTGGAACTATTTTTGAGGTTCTGGACGTGAAGATGAAGAGCCAACAACTTCTATGTTTATAATGGGAACGTTCTTGGAAAATGATGTAATCACAGGATATACTGTAACTAACACGTTCTACTATAAGGTCCAATATTCTATTTAGCCAAAAATGGTGCCAATTTTCGTATTTTTAAACAAATTTGTACAAAACTGAAAAACACAGAAAAATTGGTGCTTAAATACAACATTTGTGCAAAAAAAAGAATGCAAATTTTCTTCCCTTGCCAAAACAACCAAATTTACCTAAGATTAACAATACATTTTATAGACTGTTCTGAAAAGGATCAAATAATGCAGAAGTAGCATGACAGCTAATAGTGAAAATATGTTGGTTTAACCAAAGGCATATCTGATCAATTTATGGAATCTATATCAATGTTTCGATTTATCGAGACCATGCCAATGTTTCGATTTATCGAGACCATGTGATTGTTTCGATTTATCGAGACCAAGTCAATGTTTCGATTTATCGAGATAATGCCAATGTTTCGATTTATCGAAGACCATGTCAATGTTTCGATTTATCGAGACCATGTCAATGTTTGGATTTATCGAGACTATGCCAATGTTTCGATTTATACACATAAATAGAAAATATATAAAGCATGTACAATGTATTTAGGTGAAAACTATTATGCTCAATATCAAAATGATACATATCTAAATAAATTCACAAACAAACTATTAAATATGACTCACCCCTTAATGAAATATAACCTTATATGCTATTAGATAGAGTAATATAATGGAAGGGAAGTAGGTTAGTAGGGCACATTTAAGTTTTGTACTGCAATGCTCCTCCAAATGTAAGACTGTAAAGCTGGATGAATGTAAAATGTCACATTTATTACCAAATGGTAATGTAGATTAGTTGTGCCGAGCTCTGCATTTATTACATTACTCTGTCCAGTACAAGGTGACTTTACAGTGTTCTTTTTCTATATAAACATAACTAATATGTTCTTCAACAATGAGTTCATCATCTAGCATGTAGTTTCAGCATATATTTTCTTTTCCTTATGCAAGTCAAAGGCTACAAGAAATATACATCCTGCCAAACATATACCCAAGGTTCATTTTTATCAGCCAATGAAAAGACCATTTCTTGCCGATGATTCCTTTACGATAATGAATCTTGAATGAAGATCATCTAGCGTCACCAATGACTGGTTTGTTATATATAGCCCTCTAAATTTGAAAAAGCAAAAGATTGTTGATCAACATAATCCTAAGTAAAATTGATATTATTAATGAATGATGATTATGGATCAAATTAGACACATTTATAACAGTGCCTTGTATACCCTGGCCTACAGTAGTTGCAGTTAGCTTTTTCTTAATGATGCTATGCCTATTGATAGAACACCGATAATTCTCACAATGCTTTCATTAAAACTACAATGCCCAGTCTCTCATTTCAACAAATCTGGGTTCTGACCAAGTGGGATAATAGTTTGTGCTTCATTACATGAACAAAATGTAATTTTCTATGCTAATATTATTATGGCTCATTTGAACAGGCCATACGAATGAGGTTAAAATGACCAAGGTACATATTTAAAGCTGCATGTAGGGATCGCCCCTCAGTGCCCTCACCCCACTCATCCATTGGCAATGTTTGGATGCGAAAAGCGTATTATTAGACCATGAACAAACTCCTTCAACATTCATAATTCGATATTTAATAAGTTCAATGACTTCAATCAAGTGAGATGTCCAAACAAATCCTGTTATATTAAAATATTACACTATCAAAAAGATGTCAAGCGATGAAAAAATTTTGACTTTGTAAGAAATAAATCAGTTGCAGAGAGGCCAAAATCCTGTGAAATTGTTAACTCAAGACAACATTTTTCTCATATATTTTTATGTACACGAGTTGTATTAAAACCAGCAAAATAAAATTCCGTTACAATATAGCAATATAGTCCTGAGATAATGAGATTGTATTTAAGTATTCCTGCGTTGAGAAGTAATAAATATTCAAATATTCCGGCGTTAAAGAAGCAAACGATTTGAATATTCGCAAATATAAAATATGGCGACAGGCAAGAGTGGTGGTGCGCAAAGCATGTTGGTACTATTTTTTACCGAATTTACCGAACTCGAAGCGAGCTGTTTCGATTATGTCCTTTTATGGACATCGTCGTGTTTCTTTTCATAAATATTTGGTTATTGTTCGTTCTTTGGCGCACAAGATCTATAAATTTTGAATTCGAATTGCATTCAACGGCGTATATTAGCGTTATAATAGCTATACTATGGTAAATCTTTGTGAGGACAGTGCTTGGATATGAATAATGAACGTGAATATTAAATATTTAACAATATTAAAGCTAACCAGTCGATCTGTCGAAAGATCAAATCGAAGGGAAGAGCGTTGAGTTGCTGCCAAGGTCCAGATTATGGTCAAGATCGAGGTCAAGATAGTGCGAATTTCAGGTTGGTAGATTTGTTTGAACGTTTGAAGCGATCCCAAGAATATTGTTTACATTTTTAAAATACATATCCCTTCTTGTCTGTGTTTTAACTGTACAACATAGGAATGATCATCACTTCTACTTGCATTTTCCGTACACAAAAAGCATCAGTCGTACGATACTAAGACGATGGACGAAGCCATTGCACTTGTAACACAATGCAATGATACACTTTAAGAAAACGAAGAAGTCATAAGACAACAACACGAAAACCTTCCCAAAGCTTTGAACGGCCCAGAGGGAAGTATTTCTGCCAAAACCATGAAGTCAATATTCTTACTACAATGGGGACTCGCAAAATTGAAATCAAATCTTGATGATTTTGACTATAATTCATCCAATCTACTCATTTGCATCACACTAGACATTGAGCATTTGCACTCCACGGTAAACTTCAAGCATTGTGTACAACCAATACTTCAATATTCAAGGTCATTTTCCTCATCTATCAAAGAAAGTGTCAAAGCTCTTACAAATTGGAGTGCATTTTATTACACTAGCAATCAAGCACGTTGGTATCCACCTCCTGAGAGTGGTTTAAAACTAAATATCCCAAAGCCAGCGGACCCAAGACAACTTGAAGACGACAAGAAAGTGCTGATGAGAGAATGGGCCTCGCTGAACGGTGCTGTAGTTCGTCAGAGAGGTGTTCGCCAAGAAACAACAATGACGAAAGCTGGAACGCCACCTGAGGGAAGCTATGAAGTAGCATTGCCGCCCTCCATGACTTGAATCGAATGCCTCGTTACGTCACAGTAGATTTTGATTTTGCAACTTTCATCAGTGAACCGATGCGAGCGCCCGCAATCTGCATGCGATACATCGCTCAGCGGACAAACCTACCGTGACGTAGGCTCTAAAACAATAGATTTGATGATGTCACAGTTGATTTCACGCGGGAAAGGACTCGGGACCGATGCATTCACAGAAAATTGCTGAAAATCGATGCAAACCACATCTACCGTGACGTAGGTGATGCATCAGCTTTCTACTGTGACGTCAAAGGATGTTGTAAAAAATAACATATTTTGTCGCGAAATTATTGACGCTTTAGTGTCGCAAAATAAAAAGAAAATAACAAAAAGTACACATTTGCGATCGCACCTCGCATATTGGACTTATTTTGACAATTTCGACTGTTATTGAGACTATTTAAATTGGATTTCATCCTAAATATTGTATTCCTGACATGGAGTCAAGTTTAAGCAATATTTGCGGTTTGATAGCTGGAGAGATTCAAATATATTCTATTACTGAGTGCTTGACCAAGTATTGACGACAGCATATAAATATGTCTATATATTATTTCAAGCAACATGATTTCTCAATTTTGACCGATGCATTCGCATCGTTGGCATCGGTCTGGATCCGGATCCGCCCCTGGGTATGGGGCAGAAGAAACTCTTAAAACTGAATTTAGTTGTTACCATACCGTACTGTCTAATGAAGTGATTTTAGTCAATATAGATATACATATGTTGTTGTTGTAGATGTATAATTAATATAGCTAGCTATACTGTACACAGGGCCGCCTAGAGAATTTTCGGGGCCCAAGGCAAACCCATAGATATCGGAGAACTAGATTGCTGACTGTATTGTATTCCTGCCTCGTACCCAGGCGCTTACATGAAGTATTCAGGTAGGCATCCGACGCACGAAGGGGCTGTTGGGAAGGGTGCGTGCTGGGGAGCGCCTGGCAGTTCTTGTATACTGTGATGGCGGGAAAACAGGGAATTTTATACAAAAAGTTACCATATCGTCATATACTCTGTGTAAAACCTTACTTTGTGATGAAGAGTTGAATTGAACGCCATTGGCAAATAATAATACATTTGTAGATGTTCGATGACATGCAAAATGCGCGAAAAATTATGAGTAAATAACATGACAAGTTAACCGTGCGAATATTTCGAATATGTCATTCGATATTACATGGAGAATAATAAAATGCTATCAGTTGCT